GGCAAGAGTAATTAGAGCTCTTTTACCCGTTATTTATAGAGCTTTTTTGTCGTATTTTTTTGGCCCTAGGTAATGTTTCCATTTTGTTTGCGCTCCTGATAACTCGAAACAAAGGTCGTTCCGTTTGGAATCGTCAAATTACCGCACGCGCCCCCAAGGGCATATATGTAATGCCCGGGGTATGCCTAGCAGGGGGATAATCATGAATTTCCCGATCCCTCGAATCCCCTATTTCTCCATCCTCTCGAGAACTCGAACTAACTGTACTTTCTTTAATTTTGGAGTTGCTTCAGGGTATCTCTAATGTCTCAAATTCCTGATTTCTCAAATCACTTTTCGTTGTCTTGGCCGAGTTTCATGTCTACAACTACAACTCCTGCGGCTAAAACGTTGCGCTACATTTGGATTTGATGCGATTTAGACGAAACGCTTCGAAGAGTCTTCCAGAATTGTCAATTTACACGGTAATTAGAGGAGAAGACCCTCTGCCAATCGCGTGGAAAGAAAGTTGAAATGGCAGCAACGGACGAATACGGCGAGAGACCGTATCAAGTAGCAAATTCTTGGCGGGGGGATTAAGTTATAGGTGAGCATGCTTTTTCCTACTAACAGCTTTCATTCGCCTGTACGCCTTAACTAATTTTGATAGAAACTGACGTGTTCCACGGTTTGGCGTCGGAATGCGGAACTTCGAATAGCTGCTGCCAGTAATCTGGATGTGACAATCAGCTTTCATAAACGTGCTGTCTTCTGTTCTCAAATTGCACAGGAATCACGTGTTGTTGCTTGAGGCAAACGGGAAGAAGGTTCATCTACACCATGGCGGAGAAGGCTTCATGGAGACTTTTGTTGTCTCTCTTCGCTCTAGTACACACCGTATTAGGTAAGAGCTCTTTTTTGTGCATTGAAAAGCAATTTTGAGGTGCTGCAGCAACTAACAAAGCCCCAAAGAACCCACAGGGTGCAAATGATCATGTAAACAAATGCCTCCACGCGTGAAATTTTCGCGCCTGTCTCCGTTTACGCCGTTGTATTGCTCGTGGATTTTACCGTGAAATGTGTTTGAATCATTGGCGAGACAACACTGGTCGAACAATAAGAACAATATGCATGCATATCAATGATCAAGAATGGAAGAATAGTGGAGAAAGTAGCATTCTATGGAATTGTTTCGGATCAATGGAACGCGGAAGTCGATTTGTGCAGAGAACGAGTATGCTTTGATTTAAACTAACTATTCGTCAAGGTTTACAACTTTAAATGGTTATTAAACTGAGTAGAGTGCAGTTTGGTCTGAAATCATAGCCGTGATTTCATAATCGAACGAGAGTTCGATTTGAAATCACGAGTATGATATATAATTTCAGACCAAAATTGCATGACANGGTGGCTAAGCAGCCCAGCCTTAGCTTGTTTCTGAGTATCTCTGCTGTCCAACGTCATTACTGGCACACTGAACCTTGAGCTGTTAACAAATATTTTCTGTGTCATCTACTTGATCAAATATACATGTATTCGTCACATAAAAATTGTCACCTAAAAATTGCTTGTGTAGACGAGGCTTATTAAGTAAACTGATTTGTGTTTTGAAATTTGTATTCCAAGCCTTAGATTGTCCAAGTGGGTGGAACGGATATGGCAACTCTTGTTACAAGTTTGTTGTCCAGTCCTTGTTAGTGCGAGGTCTCAACTGGGAAAATGCTCGTAGAGATTGCCTTGGTTATGGTGGAGACCTTGTTAGTATAGCAAACCAATCAGAAATGAGCTTTGTTTCTAACAAATCTTCAAAGGTTTGGAATCAGCATTACTGGATTGGGCTCAATGACCAACGCAATGAAAGCCAATTTGTTTGGAGTGATGGTACACCCTATAATGCCTCAGTGTATAGTAACTGGAATACAGGAGAACCAAATGATCGTGCTGGTGAAGACTGCGTTGAGTTGTATGGTACACGCTGGAATGACAACAGCTGCAAAAAGGAGTATGGCTATATCTGCGAAAGACCCCAAGGTAAGTCTTAACAAGCGCCTTTGGAACTCTACCATTCACAGTTTGGCATCTAGCTTTGCCTTGAGTACGTACAGTGGTAACCTGTAAATGCTGCAGGTTGGACTGGTTTATTTCAAGAGAGGAACACATCTTGGTTGGAAGCAGCTGCCTCATGGAGATGGGGAGCTTATTATCATGTTGGGCAAAGCATTTATGAGGGAGACTACAGAACCTAAACATGTATCCTCTGTGAGAACTTCTGAGGGTTTTCCTTATAATAAGAGTCTGTAGCTGGATAATGAGGGAGTTACTGTAGCAGGGGGAGGGGGGAGGGGGTGTTGGTGGAAGAGCTACATGACAATTAACTTATAACTGCACAGTGATACAGTGTATAATTCTTTTCTTCTTTCTACACTCTACATGTATGTTTTTGTTGTTAGGAGCTCCCATGCCTACCCTCGTTACTGTGATTCCGCCAGTCACATCTGGTGAGTCAATAATTTTGTGTACTTAATCATATGTATTTATTAATGTGTAGAATGGCCTATGGGTAAGTCTTTTTGAAATATTGTTCATATTAGCAAATATTAATTAATTGCTATAAATACAAGCCTAGCAATCTCTAACAATCTCTGACAGCTGAACTACAAAAATGGATATGGCATGATTTTAACTGCGAGTCAATAAAAATCTGAGCACAGTATATGTAGATTACATGTAATAATACTTGTAAGCATAAAAATTCAAAATTTTGCCAAAAATGGGTCAGGAGTGCAGAATTACATACTCACTAGGTTTTCGATCTTCATCATCATTTACCCATAGCTCCTGTATGGGGAGCATGTCCATGGCATCCACAAAAGCACACCATTCAGAGCAATCTTCAGCTTGTCTAGCAATTTTCTGCCAGTCAGATCTAGATTGATGCAGTTCTTGGTCCACTGATGGTTTCCAGGCCAGTTTAGGGCGGCCCTGTTTCCTCCTGCCCTGCGGGTTCCAAAATAGTGCTTGCCTTGTCACACAGTCCTGGGTTTTCCTGAGCGTATGCCAAATCCACCTCCACTTTATTCTGCATATTTGGGTAGCCATCCTTTCCTGGTTGGTAATCTCTCACAGGTCTTCATTGCCAATTACCAAAGGCCATCTGATTCATAGGATGAAGCGGAGGCATCTGTTGACAAATACCTGAACCCTGCCCGTTATTCGCTTGCTCACCCTCCAGGTCTCAGCACCACCGAGTAAAACTGCTTTGATGAACATTACTATTGAAAATTCTTGACTTTTCCGATGCAAGATGCAAAAAGAGGCACACCTGTTAAATAAAAGTTTCTACATAAACTATCATTGATAATTATAATTGTTTTTTCCCTTTGTTCAGTCATGTACAAACAAGGAATAATCTTTTGGGCAGAGTTTTTCACAGTTTTTTTTTTTTTTTTGTATCCAGCATGCAGAGATCATATATTACCTTAGTTATAAGTCAGAGTGATGTTGTGATGTCATGATGTCATTCCATGTGTACTTTTTGAAAACTTTTTACACTAATAATTGAATCCAAGAAAACTCATTATTAGTTATCGGTACATTTCTGGTTCGCTGTACTTGTGAGAAAGATACTGAATTTTAGATGTTAATTTTTCTGTCTTTTTTTTTATCTGTAGCTCCAATTGCCTGCCCTGCGGGTTGGGTTTTCTATGGCTCATCCTGTTACAAGTTTAGTTCTCTTAGAAAGAAATGGATTGATGCTAAGAAGGATTGCCGAGCTTCTGGAGGGTATTTGTTGAAAATTGATGATGCTGATGAGCAACATTTTATAACTTATAGACAGAGCAATGGTCATAGGGTGAGTCATTTTTGTTGTTGTTTTTTTCTAGATTTGTATCGTTACGGTAATCATGTGATTGCCTTAATTTAAATGTGATTATCTAACGATTTTCACTACAAGTGATCTTTGAAAATTCCCCCAAAATTGCATGTTAGGCACGTACATCTAATGTGAACAAATTGCAAGGTATTACTGAAGTGTAAATCATTCAATCATATGATTACTCAATTTATTATTGACATGATTTAGAAAATTTAGAATGGTTTTTAATTGAGTGTCACAAAACCAAACCCAACCCAATTACTTACTGGTCAATTAGACCACTCGGCCAATCTCAAACCGAAGTAAAACCAAAACCAAAACCAAAACCAAAGTAATTGTCTAATTACTTTCGACACAAAATTGAAAACTGCTCTATGACTCAAGTAACTTACTTGTATTAATTTGCACTGCATGTACCAGACATGTTGGATTGGATTAAGTGATTCTGCAGTAGAGGGGAGCTACAGATGGGAGAGTGACAATTCACTGGTTAATTACACTCACTGGGGTACAGAGGAGCCCAATGATGCTGCTGGGGTGGAGGACTGTGTAGCAGTGTGGGGAGGTGCTTCAGCTGGCTATTGGAATGATGATTATTGTGACTCGGAAAAGTATTTCATCTGTGAGAAACCTGGTGGTATGTTTGATTGTTTTTCGTCTATGGTTTTGGAAGTAGAACAGAGCTCAACTCATCTTCCTTTTGAATTTTGCAAAAGGGGACATTCAGTGATCTATGTGCCCATAGATTCTGGCTCTTTTTGCAACAGATTGCAGCCAAATGTCAATGTCCATCATTTGAAGATGAAACTTGGGTACCTCAGTTTCTCTTTCACCTTGAGGTGACAAACTTTGCAATGGAGCATGCACCAAATTCCGAAATGGAGCATGCAGGCAAACTTTAGGCCTTCTGTTTTGTTTTTCTTGCCTTTTTTTGCTTAATTTTCTTTTCTTTTATTTTATCATGTTGTTGACCATTTAGTAACCTTTGTTTTTGTTAGAAAGGTTTCCACCAAAATGTCAAGAAAGGATATCATTGATAACTGAAGTACATAATTATGTACATTTTTTGTGTCCCTGGAGGGTTGGTTTTTAAGAGGAGAAAGTTGATAATTAATAGTTAAAATATACATCTATGCCCAACCCAATTCTATCTACCCTGCTCATTTGGGCACACTTCGTAAGGCATTTTCCCAATTTTTGAGAAGGTAAAATTGCCAATCTCGTAGATCTAATTTTTTTAGGCTGGCATCTGACCTTATCATGTATTTCGTTTTCTTTTAAAACCTTGTAGGTCGAAATCTCTGTCCACTAAACTGGAGAAGCCTTGGTGACTACTGTTACCAGTTCAATGTTCATCGAGCCCAGTACAAGACGTGGGTGGATGCTGAAAAAGCCTGCATGTCTTTTAATGGTTCAACTGAATTGATCAGTATAAGCAGTGCTGCAGAGAATGTGTTTGTCTTGAGGCAACTTAAAGACATGGGGGTTTCTCAAGTCTGGATTGGGTTAAATGATCGCAAGGTGGAGGGGAGATATGAATGGAATGATAAATCCACTAGCTCTTACAAAAACTGGGCAGCTCTGCAACCATCTACTGATGTTCCTGGTCTGAATTATGACTGTACGGTAATTGATGGCAGCACTCAGAATGGAACATGGACGACAATTCCCTGTTCTTGGGCATGTGGGTATATCTGTAAGAGAAAAAAAGGTAAGGAATTACATGTAATTGATTCTACATTTACATAGATCTACATGTTCACGTACATGCAACGTATATGTGCATTGATGTGGGCTGTCTCAACAAACCAAAGTTGAGTGTTCAACCCAATTAATAGTTGATAGTGGTGGCAATTATATTGGTGTTAAATAATTTAAGTGTTTGAAATTTGCTTATTGTAACGTTTTGAATTTTTGATTGTATTTTACAATTTGAACAGTGAAGATTGATTGTTAGGGAGTAACAGTAGACAAGTGCAGGTAGAGTGCAAATAAATTAGCATTAACAAAAGAGGCCAGTGGACCTTTTTGCTGATGTTATATAACATCAAAAGTTCTTCATATTTTTCATATGAACATAAAATTACCTTCAATCAATAGTCGGAATAATTAATCACGCCAAATTGAGGAAATATACCAAGTTTCATAATATTCCATTGCAAACTCATGACATTATATAGGATCCCAAACTTGCCAATTTTTACTATGAAATGTGTGCCAGGGGGCAAGCGATGCCCCAGCTTGCATACATTTCTTTGTAAAAATTGGCAAAGGAATTCGTAGCAGCATAAATGTTACCAGTGACAAACCTCGCTTTGCTTCNAGTTATTCATTCATTTATTTTTCTTTTGTGTCCTTTGTTGTTGTTGTCTTTTTTCTTGTGTAGTTTTCTTTTTGTCACTTATAGTATAATGTAAGCTACTGATGTAAACTTAATAGCCAATATTTTAGTGATTTTCAGCTCGAAAAATATTTAAAAAGGCCACGAACTTGACTTGACATATTTATATGCTTGCTGGATCATGCTGATCAGGTACCATTGGCAAATATCAATAGTATGGTGGACAAAACTGTTCTGGATCGACGTTTTACGACAAGAAATTAAAACAAGCAAAGCGATGCAAATAATTTTATGATTGTCTTAAACCTTACATGTATTAAATTCCACACATGGAAAATTATTTTTGTATAGAGCACGCAAGGAAGGCTTGCATTACAGCATTTCTGAATTTGCGAACTGAATCACAAAAGCACAGAAAATTGCGCAATTTCTGAGAAACAATAGTAAGTGTTATGGTTTACATCAACGTTGTAGTGTTAGACCAGTGTTCTTGTGTGAAGAGATTATTGTTACGTGTTTGTGTATATCTATATCTATATCTATATCTATATCTATATCTATATCTATATCTATATCTATATCAGTTCTATATCTATATCTATATCTATATCTATATCTATATTTATATCTATATCTAGCTATCTATCTATCTATATATATATTTCTTTAAGAATTCAATGAGATTGCATAAGGAAGGAGCGATAATTCATCTAAACAGCGTTATAATCCTGTGATACATCAGTGGTTTAGAGAATCAAAGATTCAAGTTGTGATGCTACCACTGAAGGGCCACAAGGCAAACCAGAGAAAGTTATTTCAAGCTGCGCGCTGTGTAAGAAAATGTAAGAAAATGGGAAGCTCCTGGTAGATGAGCTCAGAAACAGGTCTGTAAACTTTCCTAAAAGCACAAATAGCAGTGCGTGATGTTCTTAGCTGACAACACCCTAACACAGCAGTATCTTGCGCAATTGGGGCTTGTAAATGTATGAAGTGGGACCTAAAGACAGTTATCTTCCAAACAGGCAGAAGACCAATCTTGTGGCAATAACAGTGTAGAGACTTCAAAGAAGATCAGTTTATGAAGACAGTATATTGTATTTCAGTGGCCAAATAAGCTGTAAGTCTCTCATGCTTTCTTGTCAAAATCTTGACAAAAGAAAAAAACAACAACAAAAAAAAACTACCAGCATGTAAAGAGTTTCTTTGCAAATTAACACTCCAAATGTGACTCATTTTTCTCAGAAATCACATGATTTTGCATACTTTTGTGGCTCAATTACCAAATTTGGACAAGGTATAAGTTTCCATGTGTGGGATTTAGTAAAGCTGAAGACGATCACAAAATTATTTGTGTCACTTTACTTGTTTTAATTTTTTGTTGTAAAACATCGATCCAGAACAGTTTTGTCCAGCATACTATATAACACTAAAGGTGGCCAGAAAAGTCTTTAATATTGGGGGTCTGGAACCCAGTATGTTGCCATGGTAACAAAAATGTGAAGTTCATATTGTGGAGCCCTCTAGTAGAATCGTACTGCCAAGAATAAAACATTTCTGATTCAGATTGGCTGAGATATCTCTGTTCATCGATCATATTTGATCAAAATCTGGTTGAGTGTAGTTAATTTGCATATTTTAAAAATTTGAATCTCTCTTGGACAAAGAGAGATATTTATAGTATAAACGGTGTTTTTCTTCTGATGCAGACTTCTTACAAGTCTATGTTTTAAAATGGCTGAGATAGGAAAGATGAGAGTTTCGTCATAGTATCACTTTAAAGAATGTGATATAATTTTGTTATAGGCATAAATCAGTGTGATTCACCATTTGGAATGCAGGATGACAATATCGCTGACAGTCAAATTTCTGCCTCCAGCAGTTTCAATATTTCATCTCTTCCTAGTCAGGCACGTCTTCTTCTTGACAGTGGCAACTTCACTGTTGGGGCATGGTGTGCTGCACGAAACAATGTGGTAAGTAAATACCAGTAACTATTGCATGTCACAACTTAGTTAGATTTTGAATAACTAGCCTGGTATAAGTAAAGTCTGCATAGCCCATCAGGCCGGAGCTTATCCTCATTTCAGTAGCATGAAGTTACTTGGAGTATTCCTTCTGCCCCCTGGGTGGGACGCTAGTCCATTGTAGGGTAAACCCCTAGCATTAAATTTACCATTTCCCATTAAATTAAAACCTAGGTGGAGAGAGGCACTATGAGAAGAAAGTGTCTTGTCCAAGAACACAATGCAATGTCTCTGGCCAGGACACAAACCCAGACTGCCCGATCTGGAGGCAAGAACACTAACCATGAAGTCACAAGTTTCTATTATTAGTGAACCCTGCAGTGTCTGCCTATTTTAACACAGTAAGATTATAACAAAGAAAAAGGCATGATCACAGGGCTGTCTTTAAGTTTTGATTCACTTGTAGCCTTGATCTTCACACCCCCGGCGTAACAGTCTTGTTTCTTTATGGGTGAATTGAATCAGCTACAAATAGTGTTCACCCGTAACATCAAGAGTCCATCAGCCTTAACAGGTGCTATGGGTTACGGTCCTTATTGACAGCCCTGGATCATAGTTATCACCATGGCACTAATACTTAATTATTTGGCAGGGAGAGTACCTCCAGATTGACCTAGGAGTTGTACGTCAAATTAAGCACATTGCACTCCAAGGCAGACCACATTCAACAGACTTTGTAAAGACATTTTATCTCAAATATGGCAACAATGGTCTTGACTTCAACAGCTTTGGTGAAAATGCAACAGTGAAGTACAAGGTTAGGTCTAACATGCCCCTATTTTGTAGAAAACTTGTTTGATATTACTTATTGGCCATTTGGTCAATCAGTTGGTTGGTGATGGTCAGTTAGTTGGTCCACAAGTACTGGTGCTTAATGTGTTTATAGCTTGTTGGCTGGTCTGCCAACCTGTTGGTAGATCAGTTGATCAGTTGGCTGGTCAGGTTGGTTTGTTCTTCAGCCCACAAGAAGTTCTTTGTTAGTTTAGCCTTTAATAAAACATGTACCACTTTTAACACTGTGAAATTCTTGATTTTTGTCAATTTCAGGTTTTGACTGGCAACTTAAATGCTATGACGATCCGCAATATTAACCTTCCAGAACCAATAAATGCTAGATTTATAAGGATTTATCCTTTGACATGGAACTCAAACATCTGCCTTCGAACAGAGATCTATGGCTGTGCATCCCAAGGTTAGACTTGCCAGTTTTGTTATTTTCTCTATTGTCTAAGAATTGCTTGGGCTTTTGACTTGTTATGCATGAACGTCAGCTCGTTGTTCCATGAATAACTGGTTAAGAATCGAAAAGGAATATTATTGTATGTAAAGGATCACTGTTTGAATCATTTGAAGTGAAAACTGCCATACATGTACATCTCAAGAACACAAATGCTGTGAGAATTGGATCATTGGAGATATATAATTTATGTTATTTGCCAGCTGGGAGGTCTGTGTAGTGAAAAACTGTGACTGAGGTCTTGAAAATGCTGCCCGAGGCCGCAGGCTGAGGGTAGCATTTTCAAGCCCAGGGTCACAGTTTTTCACTATATGGACCGACCCTAAACTGGCAAATAACATAATTATTTATTTTTTCCAGCGGAAACTTGGCGTACAAGTGGGTTTGTTTATATGCAACTTTGTCAATGAATTGGCTTAGGTACTCTCTGCAAACCATCATAAAAAATCTAAGGAGCGAACAAGTGAGTCACTCAGATACTAGACAAAGAAAAATGTATTAAAGAACAGAATTATTTCAAACTACTTTACGTTAGTCATGTCTAGTTCACCAGTTAAGTTCTCCAAAATTGTTTTTCCAGCAGTGTGAAATTTTTTGCAAAGTTTGAAGTTGTACCACAAAAACAATTTCTATCAGTCTTTTTTTTTTTTTGCTTAAAAGCGGCAAGAGAAACACAGGGTTACGTGTCATTGCAGCACTGAGTGATCAACAATCAAACAAAGTCTCACAATTTTAAAACACTCAATTGCTCTATTGAATTTACTTACAGTGACCTTGTCAGATAAACTTACATTGATTAATTGTTGATGGAAGTGTAAAAGGGCAAAGGTTTCTGATTACCGGTAGATCACTTGCACAAATTGACCAAAATGACAATTTCACCTGTGCTGTTTCCCGCTGCTACTGTGACTGTGGTCAGAGATAGGAGAATCTGGACCACGCTAAGATTACTGGTAGTTCACTCCTGAAAATTGACCAAAACGACAATTTCACCCGCGCTGTTTCCCGCTGTTACTGTGACCATGGTCAGAGATAGGAAAATCTGGACCATGCTAAGAACCAATCGGATTGCAGGATTCATTACCCTGCCCTCTTGGGAAAAAAGAAATATTTATATTACATATCAGGCGAGTTTGGTGGACCTATGTTTTGTATTATGGCAGGACTACCACATTGAACAAGCGTAATATGTGTTCAAAGCATACTAAAAACGTACAATTTGCTATTTACCGCCCCCAAATTTGGCTGAGTGACCATGATGTGTGAGCCATATCAGCCATTTTTGGGTCCTTATAAATTGCACAATATGGTACTGTAACTCACTACATTAACATTGAACCAATAAGTTGATATTGAAACAGTCTTCAAACCTGCACTGACTGCTTTGATTTATAAATGCAGCTTCTTCCAAGAAATGCGGCATTGGTTGGGAGGTGGGACCTAATGACACTTGTTATCAGATGAATTCCAATCAGCAGAAAGTTTGGGCAGGTTTGCATAATCAAGCATTGTTGCTTTAAACCTTTATGATAAGCAGATCCTTCAGATACTACATTCACGCAATTATCTGTATAGTAAACATCATCAACGACAATAGCGACTGAACTACTTTATAAAATGTAAAACAATCTGGATGTTATTTTTGTTACTAACACTGTGTGTTACATGAATACATTACAGGAGTTGTGTATAATGTCGCCTTACATGTACACAAACTGCACATGTACCTCTTTGTTGCATTTTGTAGAAAGAGATTTTGGATGAGTTCTCTTAGTAATGAATTTCTGTTATTATTGTCTTTGTCTCTTACATTTTAACATCCCTGCGGTTGGCCATCTCATTTGTTTAAAACGTTGTGACTGTTTATGGACAAAATGCTCTTAGAGTCAAAACTTAATTCCCACTAACTTTGCAACTTTCTGAAATAACCCTTGCCAACCCTTTCACCCTTTCCAAACTCTTCTCATACCTTTTCAAAACCTGGTCCAAACTCTTTACAAACTTCTGGAAACACCTCATCTTTGAAAACCGGTCAGTGCCTTGTTTGGCCAGAATTGGAGGGTTGATGATCAAGACTTGTTTTCCCACTAGCTGTACACATGATGATATGAAACTCGCTGTGTTGCAGATGCACGTGTGACCTGTATGAGCCAGGGAGCTGATCTTGTTAGCATTGTTAGCATGAAGGAGAAAAAGTGGTTGAATAATCGATTGAAGGCACTCAGTGGATGGGCCTACTCATTTTGGTTGGGGCTTAACGCCCGAGACTTTCCTTTACAGTATTACTGGAGTGATGGAAGCCCATACAAACTGACTGCCTGGGATGCAGGATACCCCAGGAACACACCACAGAGTAAGTGTTTACTTAAATTTATGCTTTTTTTAAATCAAAAGCTGTTGGGCATTTACATGTATTTTTAATCTGTCAATGCGGGTTAATTTGTACTTGAACCAATACTCACTTGAGGATGTCCTGTTCCATATTTGAAAACCAATAATCTTACCTTTGATGAATTCTTTTCTTTCTTGTGTCATAATCAGTGTACCCTTTACTCCCCAAGAGTGCCAATTTGGTACACATCGTCATAACTTTGTGAATAAAGATTTACTCACTGATCTACTCATTGAAGACGTGGTTGGTCACCCCAGCAAGTTTCCAATTTCTTTTTGAGATGTGCATGGAATGTAAGACTTGTTTCAGATCAAGCTATGTACTAAGACCTGCTAACTAATCTATATGTTAGGGGTATTAACATATGGCATTTGAAAGTTTTTCAGTTTCACATTTCAATTAAAAAGCAATTTCTCTCAAAATGACTACTTCTTTCATAGCTGCTGATGTCAATTCTTAAATAAGCTGATCAGTGGCTTTCAAATGGTGTATTGTACACAGGCAGAGAGTATTTAGTTGCTGATTTGGGAAAAACTGCCGTTTGCCTAAGGGGGCAAAGGGTTAAGGAACCGATAATTGTGATGTATGTATGTGGAAACTCTGCTTTTTGCACGAAGTGGGATATAGATTTTTTTGGCAAATGCCACAAAAAATCACCCTCTTGAACGTATTTTCCTGTTTTACATGTACCCTTGGCTGTAATTTTGCAGCAAGTTTTGCTTTGGAAAGGCAAGTGATATTGTGCTGAGTTTTTCGTGCTTCATGTTGTTTTTTATACTGTTAGGTCAGAAGGCTTGTGTTGAGATTGATGTAACCAGGGGAGCTTGGAGGGATGTTGGCTGTGGGGAATACAGACCCTTCATATGTAAAAAGAGCATGGGTGAGTAGTCATCAGTTGTCACTGGCATGTGATTATTGCTGGAATGCCTTTAAGTTATTCCAGGGAACTCATAAGTGTGTGTGTCCTAAATGGAGACACTGGTAGTCCTAAATTAAGTTAACTAAACTATCTTTGAAAACATACTTATTCACTAAGAGTATAATTGTACCGATGAATGTTATTTTTTCATTACTAGCATCTACAAATGGTGTCAAGACTCCTGTTACTGGAAGTAAGTGACTTATGAAGTCTGTATCTCTTACTTTTGCATTAAGTGACTTTATGTTGATTGCCTGAAGAGTTATATACAATGACGGTCATGTGTGTGCTTTGGTTTCTATTGGTGGAGCTCGATAATTGGTTGCAACATCATGTTGTAAAGAACTTTACAGAATCAGATCAAGCAGACCCTTTTGCTTTTCCTCAATCAATCCAGAGTAAACAAAAAAGTGCTTTGAGTCCTGACTATAGTCAGCGAGATGGATATAAACTTGGTGACGTTTGTCTTAAAGTGAACAAAGTTTGTATTTTCCTTCAAGTACCCACATTGTTCTGGCCGCATTTTGTTACAGTGAGTAGCCGGTGTGAGCTAGGTATTATATTACTGCAGGCTGCAACCAGTAAGTGATGGTCCCTGCATGGCTTGCATGAGATACAGTAATGAGCGATAAACACAGTTCATCCTTTGAAACAGACTGCTGGCAGTCTGTTTTTCTCTCGAAATTCAGCAGGGATTATGAGGAATGACGCTTTAGCGTAAAGGGGAATGGGACGAGACATGGGCGCGGCACACACATCTCCCCTTCTTCCCCACTCGGCCACCGCCATACTGCCCTTTTGCGTTCGCGATGACTAAACACTCGTCTAAGTAACCCTAAGAGAAAAAACCGGCTGCCAGCAGACTACCTTTGAAACTGAGTAATTCCACAAAAGCAATAGATGAAGGCTAGCTAAGAGGGCAAGGATGTTTTCTCAGGATGAAGTAGTGGTAATGGCCTTTGTAATGTATGGGAAGGATTCCTCTTTGGGCCCTCCTTTCAACAGGCGCTCCTTTCTAATAATAGGCACTCCCTGTCTGGTGGCGGTTTTTATACTATGGAGTATTGTGTATAGTTGTTGTTTATTTAGTCTCGTGATTGCATTATGAGACTATCAGAGTCTTTATGATTACAGTTCTTGAATTGAAGTATCTGTTGTTTATCATTTAAGTGTTAAATCACATGTACACTATATGTTGAAAAAGAAATAAGGGTCCCATCCCTAATAAGAGAACCCTCTGTAATGAGCGGCCTACCATGAGCTTCAAAAAGTCTATTACCACCCCAGGTGGTAAATCGGATCATTAGACAAGTGTAATTAGACGTTTTATGAAAATAAGGAAAAGCAACCATGCCAAGAACCACCCAGATGAGTCAGAACATTGCAGCCCTGTCATCTCTAAAGATTTATAGATGTTCATGAACAATCAGAGAAAAGTGTAGTCATAGACTCCTATATTTTCATTTACAGTTGCACCATTGCTAAAGAAGGATGCAATCACTTGGTTCTGTATTGATTATCACAGGATAAATGCCATAACAGTGACGCCAATTCGGATTGATTATAACAAATAGAAAATACTGAAAAGTGATTTGGACTTATTTTCTGTGATTGGTTTAAGCAAAGAATACACCTTTGTAACTACATAGATTAAACGAACCACTGTGGCTATGGCTGGTAGACTTTATTGACCTCAAAACGGAAGCCATAAAACTTGTCCAGCCTTGGGACTGTGAAAGGGACAAAAAAAGGCACGCTAAACGAGCGTAAATCCACTAAAACTTGGGTCAAAACCTTACGACCACGCTAGTCAAAAACACACTGGTCACGTGATCCTAAATGGTGCGAAACATAACCGTGCGCGGACTGGACTGACAAAAGTCACAACCTTAATAATTTTCCTTGTTTTAGCTCCTGATTTAGTGCTTTGTTTGAGTTTGAAGCAACTTGGGAAACTCCAAAATCAGTGTAATTAAGAAAAACCTCCTTAATAATTATAGGCCAATAAAAATGGCTGCAATTCTCATCTTCCGTTGACATTTTGTATTATGTTTGCTGTTTGGTGTAAAAGACAATTAGACCCAATTCATATAACACATCTAGCATAGCTGCATTATCAAATTCAGTATATCTATGCGTACACCATAATCCAATGATGGACGTTCATGGATTGATGCAAAGTTAACTTCGCGTCACTGTTTCCATTGGCACTGTTAAGTAACAATTGATCCACGGTTTAGCTGTGTATCATTACGTTTTTTGGCACTTCTGAAGTTTGGAAAGCCATCAAGAAGCCAGCGTTGCTCTTGCCTGCATTTTGAGCAACTCTAACGTTTCTTTTGTACTGTCCAAAAACCTGCATGGATCAAAAGGTCGATTGAAGGCAACTTATTCAATCACCTGACAGTCACACGGGACATCTTTTACCTTCCTTGAAGTTTCTTTTTTTGTTTTTTTCTTAAGTTGTCGTCATGTGGCATGCATACTAAAGCCTTTGCATTGTCTTGCAGACTGGATTAGTGGAACAGATTACTACTGGCCCTTGAATACAATTGTGGATGGAAAGGTGCTTGGGACAGTTCCAGCTACTGTACGAGGCAATGTTTCCAAATCAGACCGCTTGCAAAATGGACGAGATGTCTTGTATTTCAAGAGCTATCAGGCTTACCTGGATGTAGAACAGTTTCAATTTGAATGTGTAACTGATCCTGACCAGTGCAGTAATGGAATCACCGTCTCTTTTGTTGTTCAGTTTGAAAATGGCGCAAAGACCTGGACTACAAACACTTTCATTGTGGACACAATTGGGAAAAAAACATTGATAGGGAATCGTGGTTTTGCAGTTTATGTGGTTAACAGTCGCCTGTATGTAACAGTTCTTACCAAGCGCAAGAGGTGGACAGTTTCTCAACCGTTGCTAACTGGCACCAACGTATGGCAGCATGTGATGTTTACTTGGCAACTAGAAAAAGGACTTGTGCTCTTCAAAAATGGAACAAAAAGGTGAAAGATAATTGTCTAGCTTAACCAATGTAAAACTGAGTTGTTGAACTTCAAGGGTTGAAAAATACAACTAGTTGTCAAGGAGTCTATTCAATTGGTACATGTATACAGTAGATCATTTTAATCCCACCAAAGTGAGGTGTCAAAATCTGGCCAATTTTATTGGTTGGCCGTAATTACATAATCTAGTTACTTATCGTCCTTTGCCGCAAGAGATGCACAGTTCTGGATGGCAATACTTCAAGTAATTTACATGTAAAATTCATCACCACACACAGCCTCTCTGCAATATTTTAATTGGTAAATCCATTTAAGGTGGGATGAAATTAAATAGAAATATGGTTATCCCTAGGATCTGAACTTGAAAATGTAGCTGTTGTTCCTTTGAATAAAAAAGCAGACAGTTATTAGGTTCTTCCACAATTGTAACATAGCTGTAAAAATGAAGTGACCATATCAACGACGTGGATCGCACACCAGAGCTCTACCATTCCTTTGTTAGAATTCAGTGCACTACACTACATTACAGTAAATTGAAACCTAGCCAGCAGCTGTGTGATGTAGCTTAGCAGGTCAGAACTGATTTGGAACTCACTATTTGGTATGCTAGTGAAACCACAATCTGGGTCAGCAGTGGTTATTGACAGAGTAACTGAACTTGGAGTTTGTTGAATTTACCATAGTATGAAATTCTAGACTTGTTTGCTTTGCTCTGCTTTGGCACAAACCTTAACTTTGTCATTCCATTGTGCTTAGCACCTCGCAACGCTATGGAGTACCTTCTATTAATTCTGATGATAGTTCATCATTCACTGTTGGAAGCAAGTCCACTCAACCATCAGCTGGTGGTTTTTTGATACGTTCATTGGCGGTGTGGAAAAGATCTTTGTCTTTTCAAGAAGTAAATAGTGTTTACCTGGCTGGTAAGAAAACTTTATATCTGGAAATGCCATGGTTATAATGTAATGGTATTGTGTATTGTAGTAATCCGAAGTTATACCATGATAGGTACCTTGGAAAAGCTACTTTATTAGTTTAATCTGGACCGCAGCTTTCTTCCAAGTCTATAGAGAATGTATTTATTAGACAGTTGATATGTAGTTTGCTTGCCCTCTAGACCATAATGGGCATTGTCAGCCTTAAGAGACTTAAGGGATATGTGCTCTGGGTGGTAGTTTGGGCTCCAGTACAGCGGCTGGTGTGATTGGTCGGGCCGATTCAGGAGTGACAGTCTCTCCCACACTGGATATAGGTATAATCTGACGCTGGTCTGTCTCCCTGGCTCCCTTTTAAACCATAAGTTTTACCATAATGCTGTTAGCTATGAAGTTGTTACAAAGTCTTTTTTTGTTGAGTATCCAGTGATACCCCTGGCTTGAAGCCATTTGTAATGTTGAAGAAAGGTTTTATATATTATGACTTAAATGGTTGTCAGATAGTTCCTTTCTGGAATGATGGAAACATCATCGATGCACCGCAGTCTATGTAGCTAATAATTCTTCCATATGGTTACCATTAAAATGATGGATACCTTTTTGAGGATTTGTAACTCTTAGAGCTGTTTTTATTGCAGAAATAAAGTTGAGTACGAAGATCAAAGTCTAGCTTTTTCCCAGGTTCTATCTCGAACTGTCAAACAGCAGGTTTTTGTGGGCATCCTACAGTTTATACTCATACACTCTAAAGACAGTATGTATGGGTTATAGACCAAGTGTGAGGTCAAGATGGCTGGATATTGGCCAAGTTCTTTTTCTTCCGTGTTTATGGACCGAGACGGAGTCGAGGTCCATAAACTCGCAAAAAAAGAATGAGGCCAATGTCCAGCCATCTTGATTGAACAAGCTTGGTCAATAAAGGATTTATTATATGGCTTTTAGGGAAATTTGTTTTTGCAGGACACGGCGGGTAGTCCCGAGCGGGCAAAATAGCTCCATCTTGCCCGCTCGGATAGCCAATCCAGCGCAGGATTTGACTCATCTTGCCCGCTCACGGAGCTAGCCATATAATAAATGACAAGTAATGAATAACTTGCGGCTTATTTAAGTTACGCTGAGGAATCTTGACTTACGCTTGAAATGAATGGAGCCACCATGTTCTGATTGAATGCTCTCTTCTGTATTTTAGAGTTTGGTAGATGTCGAACAGGTTGGAAAGACTTTGGGCAGTACTGTTATCAGTTTAACTTAGTGAAGAAATCATGGTCGAATGCACGGGTGTCCTGTGTGAATCAGCAAGCAGACCTGATCAGCATTCACTCCCCCATAGAGCAGGCTCACATAACTTTGGAGACAGGACCATATGGATTGCAATCTGTAGCTTGGATTGGTAAATTATTGTTTTATAGTTACCGACATGTGATTTTCGAAACAGTCTCTGCCATTCCTACAATGGTAATGCTCAAGTAATGCATGCATAGTCAGCCGTCAAGTTTACACTTCCACGCAGTTGTGTCATCACATTCGACCAAGTAAAAACATGTTAACTAAGTAATGCACCGACAGTCAAAGCCCCCGTAAGGGACCACCCAAAATGTCAAGCCTAGGTGGTTGCTTATTGGAGGTGGTCGCTTACGAGAGCTTAGACCATAATGGGTCAAAATTTTTCCTCATTAGAATATGATAACTGCCGAGGCTTGACCCATGTGCCAATGCCGATGCAATGTTTTCTTCATGTAAAAGTCAATTTCGAGAAAAAAAATCCGGTTCTTCCTATTGAGAAAATTGTTACCACACCTTATTATCCATTTTTCGCTCCATTATCTGTGAAGTGGTCGCTTAAGGGAGGTTACCCACAAAGGAAATGTCCAAACTTTTAGCTCTGAAAGTGGTCGCGGTCGCTTACGAGAGGTAGTCGCTTACAAGAGGTTCCAAATATAGTGATTTGACTTGGAAACCTTTGGTATTTTGGAAAACTGGTCGCTGAGGATAGGTAGTCGCTTACGAGAGGTGGTCGCAACCGGAGGGTCGACTTTAGATTTTATGCTGGGGACATCTAGAATGCAACTTTTGTTAGAAGACAAATCTAGTATCGGTTATTTAGTTATAGGTGTGTACTAAGGCAAATGCCATTAGCCTGGTGGTCTAATGAGTAGGGTGCTGGACGCCAGGTTGATCAGTCCAGGTTTGTTGAATTGGTACACTGCTGTTACGTTGTAAAGTTGTGCATGAGCTGCTGTCCTGCTGCAGCAGGCACATTTCTCAGTGATGGGAAATCCCGGTAGTTAAATTACTTAGATATCGTTAGTCCATAAACGGAATTGAGTTCGTCATATCAATTTCAAAAATACTGATTAGCTACAAAACCTTTTCTGAAATTTAAGAGCGACATATGCTACAAACCATGCGATGTTCTCTTTGTATGGATGCTAGCTGTAGTGACCCGACAGTACCTTTGCACACTTCAGTAGTGAGTCTTATGCAACCCATGGTTGGTGTTTGCAGGACTGCATGACCAGGGAGTAGAAAGTGAGTTTCAATGGTCCGATGGAACTGATGTTCAGTATACCAACTGGGATGCTTGGCAACCTGATAACTGGAAAAACTATGAAGACTGCACACATGTGAAACAGTATAACGATGGACGCTGGAATGATCAGAGATGTTCTAATAATTTGCCGTACATCTGCAAGCGACCCAAAGGTTCGTCTTGCTACTTCACTGTTTGCGCATCTTGAAGAATTTAGCCTAAATTTTTCAAGTTCGTTGTTTGTAATCTTTTTTAATCTTCTACATCCTTGTTCCTTTATGGTTTATTACTATCTCTTTGGTGTTTTTCTATCTTAGTAAACTATTATTTTAAGGTTTCCTTCAATTTAAAGGTAATTTTGTACGTGGCCAACATAACTCTAAATAATGTGACTGAACTCGTATGTACCTTAAAAGGGAAAAAAAATTTTTCTTCCATATGTTTAGGCCTTCATTGCTTAGTTATTCATTTGCCCTGCCATCAAAAGATACCAGTGCAGAACTAGGTCTCTTGTTTACCTTATGATATCAACTGTCTAGGAAAGTCCTTAAAGAAGTTAGATCTTTGTATTTTATGGGCCAATTATTAACTTAAATATTAACTTATACTCCCTGTAAAACCACTGTCAGTGAGAATAACCTTCAGACTCCTTATGAAAACGTGTTTCATTAACTTCTCTAATTTATTCATCTAATTTGGTCATAGAATACATCCCACCTAATGCAACCCTTCCAACCACAGGTAAGAACCGTTTAGCTTCAGTCTTTCAATTCACATGTGATTTATTTCTTGGAAAGTGGAATATGTTGTGGTGCATGGTGGCAAAACATACATTTATTATATGGCTAGCTCCGTGAGCGGGCAGGATGAATCAAATCCTGCACTGTGATTGGCTACCTGAGCGGGCAAGATGGAGCTATCTTGCCCGCTCGGGACTACCTGGCGTGTCCCGCTAGAAAAATTTCCCCAAAAGCCATATAATAAATCCTTGACCGAACAAACTTGGTCAATAACCCATATAACATAAAACTTTATTTTATGTCAGATTATGAGTAGTAATTTTGAGAAGTTTCCATTTACCCAAGACTTAACTAATTCTTGCTGACGGTGATAAAAATTATAAGTTATGACGAGCGGTTTTCACTTGAGTGGCGAAAGTAATTAGCATTTGCTTTGGTTTTGCATTACCACCCCAAGCGATTGGCTTAAAAAACACATGCCACTTTGTCAGCCAATCAGAAGTAAAACCAAAACCAATCGTGACTCGCTCGCACGCTTTTTCCCGCGCTTTGTGTCGACTGCGTGCATTTGCATCGAGTTTTGATTGGCTCACTGAATTGTCTGTGTAAGTTGTAATTGGCCAGAGTGATCAGTTTGGTTTTGGCTTTGCGACACTCAATTTTAAACTACTGTATATGTTTTGGCAACCAAGTAACCAAGCACTGTGTTGATGCATTTCAGCTCCCCAGAAGCTGTTTGTTTGTGAATGGACTTCTGAAGTGCTCAGTTGTCCCATGTCTACGGTTCTGAACATTAGATCTGCAATTTACGGACGGACTGATAAAAGCAGGTGTAATCAAGTGAGCGTTACAAATTGCAAACTTGATGTCACATCACTCATAAGTACGAAATGCAGAGGAAAAAATCACTGCTCTTTGAAAGCCACCAATTCATTGATGGGCTCTGACCCATGTCGAACAGTTCCCAAGTACCTAGAAGTTGACTACACATGTGAAATTGGTAAGTGACGTGTTAACAAAAAAGGTAACTCGCTTTGTTTTAGATAATAAGGTGAAAAGATACCTACTTTGGCCTATTTTCAAATTGATTACCATTCGCATACATGAGGTAAACTGACCAAAGTAGTAATTATATCGTTTTAATGCGATGTCATCAAAATTCTTGACATTAGTACTATATCACTAGTTAGAGGTAGATGTTTGTTTCACTGGGCTGCTTTGTTTTGGAGGTAAAGCATTTTGCAATTTGAGACAGCATAATTCAAACTGGTCTGAAATGTTGAGACTGATATTTGTACCCTTATAAATACTTTAAGATATGCTATTCGAAGTTAGAAATGATATTTAAAACATTCCATACAGAATTGGAAGCAAAATCTGTTTTTCCCCCCTGCAGACCTTTTTGGTCGCCATATTGGTGCACCAAGGTAATAATTATGGCAAACTCATGCCAAGCTTAGTAATTTTCTGAATAATGTTGTTCTGCTAACTTAGTTAAGTGTAATTGTGGCCAGTTTATTACTTTCTATGCACTCTATCTTCTCTAAAAATGTCGAAGATTTTTGTCCAAGTAAAATGATCACATTGTGTTGAAAATGAGCTATAGACTAACTGCGGCCTACCGACTACCACATATGGCAAGGGTCGCTTGATCAAATGAGCGATACAATTTATAAGAATAGCAAGAGCATAAGGGACATTGCCCTTAGTGGGTGAGCAAAAGCAACTGTGGTGAAATACAGTATACAGACACTGATTTGCCGATGGATTTATTTTGTTCTTAACAGGTCGTGTTGTGACTCCTGGCTGTCCCGAGGGGTGGCAACGCAGCCCTGATGGTACCCGTTGCTTTGGTTTGCTGTTTGATCGCAAGAATTGGCAAGACGCTAGACAAGCATGCAAAGTTTATGGGGCTGATTTAGCTAGTTTTCACAGCAGGTATGGGTTCGGGATCAATTACAAGCCACGAAACAGGCAATGTTTTCTGTGCCTTTACAGGTGAAATGAAATACTTGTCTAAATCTTAGAGAAAGACAGGTCTATTTCTTGACCACTTACATGGTTTTCATTGAGGGCCTAGCACCAGGAAAATTGACCAGCTGTGAGAACGATTTTGCCCGCCTGGTTTGCCCATTTACAGGAAAGCTTTTCTTACAAAGAAATTCAGTTCAAAAGGTTTTGCCCAGCTGTCAAAACCAGTTGCTCTCCTGCTGAAAACCTTAATGCGACCCCTACGTGCAAAAACATGGACAAAGTAAGTTCCACTATTTCCCTTTGCAAGAGCGGTCTTTTGAAGCACTTTTCACTTGAGCACTTATGAGGCACTTAATACAAACAAAACGCAATTTGCCTGGAATATGACATGGTGATCTCTAGTAAGCGTCCATTCAATAGATGTTAAATGTTAAATTGTTGTTGATCACATTGATTGATGCCAGTTCTCCAGGGGAGTAGAGGTGCGAGGCAATGATCATTCAACCACCGGAACTTAGCCCCTTTTGTTTTGAATTATGATGTATAAAAATAAGCTTTTTGTAACACTGACTGGCTGATATGTGCACGCACATTGTGGCACATGGGACCCCGTCATTTACATATTACTTCAAAACAATGTGATTCACTTATCTTGTCTCGAACACTAAGATTACACCTTTGTTTCGTCAAGGCTACAAAGTAGTTACTTAAGCCAGGACATAATGTAACGAATAATTTTCTACCCTTGTCCGGCAGATCGACCTGGGGGCATGGCCACTGAATTTGAAACCTGGAGGGCTCTGGTTGAAATACTCCACTCTGCCACTGTACTTGGTAGTCCCGAGTTTAACTGGTCGGCCGCATTTTGTAAATGGCCATCTAGGCAGTCCCCCGGCCCCCCTCCAGCCGTTTGGATTTTGGATTTTGGATTTTTAACGTGTTTTTTTTTTTTCTATTTGCAATAGTTCTATTCACAGTGTTGTCAGTTGGAACAGCTGTGATATATACATTGAAACTGACGTTAACCCATTTATTGATTGATTGATTGATTTATTGATTTATTTATTGTTTAATGTCCATGCTCATAATTTAATGTTGATACCAATCTTCACTGACAATTAACCACAACCTGGGGTTTGTGTTTGCAGTACCGAGAATATTCTGCTGACATCCCTACTGGTTGACTCGTGGGACATTGAAAAAACTGGAGGAGTATGGATAGGACTTTCAGATGCTGGACAGAAAGGAGTGTACAACTGGTCCGATGGATCACCGGTTGATTACTCCAGCTGGCTTTATGGGCAACCAGATGAGAGGTATCAGTCAGGGAGTTGTGTCCAAGCAACCCTTCAGCCCGGTAGAATGAACTGGTTGTTTTGGGAAGATGTGGATTGTAGTCCTAAACTTCCTTATGCCTGCGCTAAGTTGCCAAGTAAGTTATCCTTAAGTCATGATGACTCTACAGTGTCACCTTGGGGACTGGCCCTATTCTTAATGACAACAAGCTTTATTACCACGGTGCATATCTGAGGAATTTTAATTGTAATTATTGAGAATGTGGTCTAGCAAGGGACCAGTTTGAAAGTAATATTCTGACCCAGTTGTTCAAATGGTGTATAATGCTGTCCTCTGGATAAATTGCTATCCAGTGGATAAGTGTTAGCAGAAGAAACTACAGTAACCACGGTGGATAGTGTTATTCACCCTTTCAGTTCGAGCAACTGGACCCTGAACGCATGATAGAATGGATTGAATATGGTGGACAAACTTTATTCTTGGACATGACACACGGTATCCTTCCTATTTCTTGCAAATTAAATAAGTTCTTTAAGCACAGTTATATTAATTAATGAATATTCGCACTAGTAAGTTGGGGCAAGTCCCGCCCTAAAACGGTTGGGTTATTTGCTTTATTTGTGTGATTCGTTCGTCTTACTTGTCTGGTGTTTTTGTTCAAACAGTAAATAAGCCGCCACCTTCCACTGTGCCAACCACAGGTAACTTAAGCCACTTACTAGTGACCTATATTTCTTGTTTAATATCAATCTCGTTCCCAGAGTCTTCGTTCCCCTTGACCAGCGGTCGGAAAACGAGAGCTCTGGGAGCAACAATTTCAGGCGTGCGCCATAGATGCAGACTGTGCAGTGAAACCGGATGGACAGAATTTGGTTATTTCAAAATGGCTGCTCCCAGAGCTCTCGTTTTCTGACCGCTGGTCAAGGGTAACGAAGACTCTGGGAACGAGATGGGTTTAATATTAGTACGTTGTCAAACAGGAAGGTCCACGCATGTGCAGTATTGCAACATTCTCAGAGTTCAATTTTAGTAACGAAGATAACTTGTTCTTTGAGAGGGTAAGTCTGCATTGGGCCAAGTGCTCCATACCACCAATGCTTATTGGACTAGGTGTATTTGCATTTCCCCCTGGATGGGGACGCTAGTCTATTGCAGGGTTATCCTCCCCCCGGCATTAGATTTGCTGCACTCTCAGGGTAAAGTGTCATCTTGCCTTAGGACACAACCTAATGACTGCCGGACAGAGCTCAAACCAGAGTGCTCAATCTGGAGTCCAGGACACTAACCATTTGTCCATTGCGCCTCCCGTCCTATGTTTAATTCATTAACTTCATTTACCCGGATTCAAGTGTTTCCTGTTAGTGTGTATCGATGCTAAAACACATTCACATGGTAATTTATTTCAGAGGTACATGGACAATAAATATTTTGTCCAAAATTAAAGACTGAAAAAGGGTATATTTGTGAAGTTGTGTATGGGACAATTTCCACACACCAAGTGGTTTAAGGTTTCACCTTAAATGTTTTGGAATTTGAAAATTAGAGAATTACTAAAGACATGACACGACTAATGTCTTGACACACCATGCCTTTTGAATAAAGGAGACAAAATAATTGTTTGCAACATTGTATCCTATTAACCAGGGGTGTTGCTTTAATTAGAAAATGTGAGAATTTTTGATTGCAATTATGTATTAAAACAGTCCTTACTGTTTTCAGTTTCCAATAATCCTTGCACTTCTGGATGGATGATGAATGGTTCCTATTGCTATAAATTGATGGCGCAAAGGTAGGCAACATTTAAAAGGGACACTGTCACTATTTTTAGCATGATTTTGGAAATCTCAAAAACATATAACGATCATTGGAAGCTGAACAGCTCGACAAATGATTAGAACCCATTAGGAAGTGATAATGGCCAACGATGGCGAGGTTTTTAACGGATTGCGATGTGGATATTTGAAAAAGCGTCAGGATGTCAGGTTTTCAAAGGTTCAAGATTGGCTCGAAAAGCGTTGAAATTTTGTAAAAATGTTGCTGCAATGTAGACTTTCTCCAAGAAATTGCTTTTAATCATTTAGTTAGAGCTAATCAAGTTTTTATTACATAACTTTAGAGACCATTTCGTGAATTTATAACAGTTTTAAGCAAATATATCGTGACAGTGTCCCTTTAATCAATGCGATAGTAGTATGATATGCAGAGATAAGACGTCATGTATTCTCCGAATCCGGCTTTTCCAGGTTTTCCTAGCCTTGGGCCTCTGGGCTTTCTGGGCTTTCTGGGCTTTCTGGGCTTTCTGGGCTGGTCAGAACATAGTTAAAAACTATGGTCAGGTTTTTCTAAGTTTGGAAATATTGAGGCGTTTTTAGATTGACAGCGTTTTCTAGGCATTCTGAGCATTCAGGTTCTATTCATACCAGAATTTCAAAGGATTTCCCAGGCTTTCTTGGCAATAGGGCTGTCTTGCAAGGGCATTTGAATGACTACTGGTGAATTGTGGGATTGTTTAAAGGGTTTCTATGACAAGTAGGACTTTGAAGAGTCAAAACCCAAAAGGCATATTTTCATTGATGGATATCTACAGATAATGGTCTAGGTTTGTTAGAAAATTACTTTACAATTTTGCTCTAAAAAGACAGTATTTAGGTGGGTATCAAAAACCTTCACACAGAGCGGCCTTTTCGTGGCTACCATAACAACGGAGTGCATCAGACGATAAAATCTGTATTGAAAGCAATACCTTAGGGCCATTTTTGCCTTCCAGATTAACACTTGCTTCTCTTGTTTTATTTTTAATAGTAAGACATGGACTGAAGCCAGAGATGCTTGTAGAATGGTCAGTGGAAATTCCGATCTGGTCAGCATCCACAGTCTCGCAGAGAACACATTTGTAGCCAGTCTGTTCAGTGGCTCACTTTTTGCTGCCTGGATTGGGCTGAGTGATCGTGGCGTATTGTTTGGTAGGTTGTTTTGATCTTTTTGCAGTCTGTGGCGCGATCTGTTTTAAGTTTACCATGCTGATTCAACAAATATTGGTTTTCTCAACATGTTAAGTTTGTAAATAAATGCAGGTAGGTGGTCTTGGTCATTTCAGTAACTGCACATGGCTACCTACACGTACCGAACTATCCACTCAAATTTGATAAATGTAAATTAAAATATTATTGTCAATTTCAAAGATTGACACCATAACCTCAGGCCATTGTCGAATCAAGGAGGATTTTGTTGGAGGACCGTGAAGCTACATCATGTCCTGATCTTGGACAGAGATGGTCCATGTATCTCATATCAAACAAGCCGATTTTGTAATTATGGTACCTGCCTGTTTGGGAAAGTGTCGACTCAGTTCTTGTGCATGGCACTGCATTGTCGCCAAGGATGGACGAACTAACTTTTGGTGCTGAAAGCCTTCTGACTTGTTTTGTAGGTTACGTTTGGAGTGACAAAAGCCCTGTGAAATTCACAAAGTGGAACCCACAACAACCAGACAGCCATCAAGGGCAACAGCCGTGTGTCGAAATGTATTCTACTGGCGACTGGGCTGACACTGGGTGCTACTCTGTGAAGCAGTTTATCTGCAAGATGCCGCGGTGTAAGTCCAAACACACAGTGTTTACAAATCTTCTCTTGGCAGGGTGCAAAGAAAACCAGTTTTCAAGCTTACCCCTCGGGCAAGCTGTGACTATGATGTACTAACCCGAAAGTCATTCCCAAGAAACTTCTCTTGCCAGTCAGGCAAGTGAAGGACCACTAACTCCAGTCTATCGGACACGACTCTCTTTGCACACTGACAGCCAATTTCTTCTACAATCGTTCTTTTTTTCTTAGAACGTCACAAGATTATGAAGTAGCCAGGAGAAAAGAATGAANAAAAAACTTCACCCTCCGAATGGGTAAGCAAAGGTCAGTATCTACCAGCTTGACTACAAATCCAGTAGTTCCAGGCTATCAGACATCACTTTCTTTGCAAGCCACTTGGTTTTGGTCGGTTTTGAGAACTTTATGTTTGCTTTAGTTCATCGGCCCAGACAATCACCGACTCAAGTTCAACTTATACCTTTAAATGTTGTATTCGTAGTCTTTTTGAGTGTAGATATCTGGGCACACTGCGGTGGCATAAAACGGGAAGTGCGGCAGTCGCTACTTAAGTTATTCTTATAAGAGAACCTCTAGCTTCAAGAATTGATGCCCGTTTGAGTGCATCAGTGAGTGCACTGCGAAGAGGATAAACCATTTCTTCTAGATGATATTTCAGGATAAGAAGTAGCCGTATGAAAACATGACGTTTCGGCGACGTCATGTCACCATAGCTGCTTCAAATGGTGTTTCAAACTGACTCCTAGAATGTATCCTTGAATACCGTAGACGTCCACGTGTAGGGATCTGAAGACGTTCAGATTGAACTGCAAAGCATAAGGAAAAACATCTACTAAGGGACAATTTCTGGACACAACTCTATGGGAAATTGCTTTGAGTTAATGTATTGGTGCATGTTTGCTAAACCAGAAGTTGGCTTCAGTTCCTATACTTTTTCAGTCTCTTAGTGGTACAGAATAACATTCATTTGCATTGTAGTGACTCTTTTTGTTTTCAACAGCGGATTACTCACCGTCAACAGTTCCTGCAACCAGACCTGCAGTAACAACAACACAAGGTGAGGTCTTTGGTCAAGTGCATGGGTCCATTTATTGGTGGTAGAACTTCGATATTGACTTGGCCTTCTCCTGTGAAGGAGATCATCTTTAAAACCTCTTATTTATCACTCCTGGTGAAGTTTCAGTTTTCAATGTTTTAACTGAAATGACACTGGGATGAGTGAATTTAGGACACCGTTTTTTTGTTGTTAATTTCCTTGTTTATTTTTCTCGGTAATTTCCTTATTTATTCCTGCTTATTGATGAACATGTACAGCAATATCACCGATATGTTCTCTCTCATCAGCTCCCAACATTTGTCCACCTGGGTGGATTCTTTGGAATGCCATGTGTTACTACTTTGCAAACAATTCTCAATCAAGCAAAGTCACGTGGCGTGTTGCTCGACAGGCTTGTCAAAGTATTAGAGGTGGAGACCTGGTCAGCATTCTCAGTGCTGCGGAGAACAACTTTATCAAATCCAAAATTGCAAGGTATGCGCTTGAAACGTTTCATGTTTCAGTTAAATGCTGTACTCTTTTCAACGTACCTTTTCCAAGACCCATTCATGAAGACACTGCACACTAGTAAAGCTTCCAGGGTAGTTATTAATTGATTTACAACAAAATGATGGAACATTGAAACTCACAGGTCCGAGGTATTAGTTGCAAGTAGACGTTACAGTTACAGAATTATAGTAACTGATTGAAAACAGATAACGTTGTTTCTAAAATAGTCGGTAAAGCAACTCTCATGCAGTGACATACATCACTTGTGTTACCTTGATGAGCTAAACGAACATGTATAGAGGTTACTTACATAGGCCTTTGACCATCAAACACTGTGATAAAACACTCCGGCCATTGGGGAACGCTCGAGAAATGTAGAAACCATTCGCCTGTGGCTCGTGTTTTCTACATCTGCCTCGTGTTCTCAAATGCCCGTCGTGTTTTATCACAGTGTAATACACGGCTTAGGCTTCTTTATTTGTTTATTAAAAACTAAAAACTGAAGTATAATAATGTAGGTTCGTTCGTTCTCACAGTCATAGCAGTTACAGGTTGTGGATAGGACTTAACGACCTTGGAACGGAAAGCAGCTACAGATGGAGTGACGACTCACCTCTAGTTTACAGGAATTACGACTCGCGAGAACCCAATGACTATCATGGGCAAGAGGACTGTATGGAAATTAAGAAGTCAGGCTATTGGAATGACAACCACTGCAGTATATTACGGCCGTATATCTGCAAGAAAACCAACAGTAAGTGCGAGTTCAGACGCCAAACTTTTCATAAGCCAAGCCTAATTACAATTTTGGCTGACATGAAGTGCAGTTGTTGATTCATTACCCAAAATTAATTACCCAGATTTAATGCAATTTATACGTTTAAGGGGAAAAATTGTTAAATTGTCAAGTATTTTATAATAATTTGTGCATAAGGTTTGGCACATGAAAAGCTCGGCGTCTTTATCAAAGATACTTCAAAGCGATTTCAAAGACAAAATACTTGCCAGAGTTAAGCAGAAAAAATTTCTTGCCTGAGTTAGGTGGGACGAACGGGCGAGGCATAGCCCGTTCTTAATTTATTTCGACACTGTACAGTTCGTGCACTTGATTGAAGCGGGTCAAGGTTACTACCTTCCTGTGGTGCGGAGATGGCACAGTGGGGAGAGTGATTGCCTTCCACCAGTGTGACCCGGATTTGAATTCCGGATCCAGCACCGTACTTGTTGTTGGTTCTCGGCCTTACCTGAAGGGTTGAAGAGAAAGGAAAGGGTAGATAGAAAACTCAAGCAAGACCCTCCCCCGAGTAATATTGTTTTTCGCTTTTCCATCAGCTTTGAAAATCAGTACTTTTATATTGCGAATCGATCTGCAAACAGTAGACCAATAGCTATTTTGTAGGCGTACTACCGGAAATTTTCACGTCTACAGTCCTTTACGTGTAGTTATTTGTGACTTGAAGCTTTTGTCAAAGTCATCTCGAATTTCCAGTGGAAGTAATGTAAAGTAGTTGTCTTTCTTTTGTTTTTTTTTGTTTTNGGGGGGGGGAGTGGGGTGGGGAGTGACATTGTCTAAGGATACTGAAGAAGGGCTGAAAACTGTTTCAAATTGTAAACGTCAAAGGTTCGTGCAGTTTTAAGATAATTTTCAAAAGTCAATAAATCCTCAATTACAGTCGGATTCACACGATTACCTGTACTGCAATAATGCCTGCATTTTTTGCAGACTCCGTCATACCTCTCATCACCATGTTCCCTCCAACTCCTGGTCCAGGTAAGTAAACGGTCAATTTTGTTTAATGGATAAGTTTAGTTATAGCACAATCTCCACCCTAGGCTGTTCCAAGTCAGCAAGTGGAATTTGGTTTCCGAGCGCTTTTCACTTGAGTGTCGAAGGTAATTCCCAGTTGTTTTGGTTTTACATCACTGTTATCTGTAAATAGTGGCACAAATTGCTAGTTGTTGAACAACTTCGTTCACTTGTGCCTCGTTAATACGTTGCACTTTTAGTTTTGGACTATTTGGATTGTCTGTCAGGAGAATAGCCTTTTACGACATTGACTTGATAGGCCAAGTCTCTAGTACAGGCTGTGTACAGTGGATTCGGGTAGGCAGGCTGACTGTACATGTATTTTGTCTCGTGTTATAGCTCTTGAGAGCTGCAAGGAAGGCTGGGTGAACTATGATAAGAGCTGTTACCGTATTGTGTCAGATTCACGACAGTCCTGGACGAATGCCAGGGATGTTTGTAGGCGTGGGTTGAACTCAAGCATGAATGGCGATCTTGTTACTATAGATGACCAGTAAGTATGCCACTTTGTTTAGAGAGGCTGTTTCAAAAGATTTAGTAATGTAGTAACTGCGTTGAATAAGGTGCCAGTTTCATTGAGATTTGTTTTGGAAAAGTAAATCAATTCTGTGTGAAGTCCCGTCCACACTACGCTGGAGGGATTTAAAAACGCAATAATCAAAAGTCATTTTGGATTTGTGTTTGAGGAAAACTCGGTCAGGGAAATCAAATGTTAATCGTGGCTACATCGTTTTCAGAAAGCTCCGTTTTCAAAAGGTTTTTTGTCCATACGAAAGCGGAAGACCAACGTTTTCAAATTCCTCAGGTTTGAAGAGCGTCTTCAAAAAGCTCGTGTCGGATCAGTGTGGACGGTAGGTTTAACCGTAGAAATAAAGCTGCGGTTTTCAAATTTCTCTGAAGTATTGTGGACACACTGCCTAATTGGTCGTCGCTGGGATTAAGAACAAGAAGCAAGCAAGGCATTGTACAGATCCTCGTATAGGTTCATCGCTAAGAAAACTTTACAGTGGAAATTTTGTCTCTGTGTGTGTCAAATCAATCATGACCCTTTTGTGCATGCAGAGGTATAAATTTGATTTGTCAAACTGTTTTAGATTATATGATTTTTGTTTTCTAAGGCTTTCCCTAAAGGAGCTAAAAGGTGATTTTTCATTTTGTAGGTACGAACAAGCATTCTTAACCACTTTGCTTCTGGAGAAGAAGACCAACTTGTGGATTGGGTTTAATGACATACACCAGGAAGGGAAATTCCTCTGGACAGACAGCAGTCCAACCAAATACACCAACTGGAATGTCAACGAACCGCAAAACTACGGCTTGAGCAGGGATTGTGTTGACATGACGCCATTCGGACATGCTGGTCGATGGGGAACTGTTCAGTGTGACCAGCAGAAAGGTTTCATTTGCGAGACAGGTTTGTGAAAGAAATGTTTCTGAACTGGAGTTCTGAATGCATTATTTTTGAGTTGGCTTGTGTACCAATGTAGAGTAACGAGTAACCTTAGATATTGAAGCGTACAAGACGCTGCTGAGATAGAGAGAGATGATAAGTTGTTTGCTCGGTAAGGAAATTCAATTTCTCATTATTATGGGACGTCTTTCCTTGGTTGTTGTTGGTATTTTTTTGGTTTCCAAGGCTGATAATAACAAGTCAGGAACAGCTGTCTAAATTTGTGTGATAATGACTTATTTCAGTTAGTAATCATGCAAAATACTAACTTACGAGCACAAGTACATTAGGGAACAAATATGTGAACCCAGGCGTCGTAATATCTCTATAGAGACCATCAATGAAGGGCGTTTCCAAAGGCTTAAGATGCAAGACTTGAACATACACCACTTTTTACGATAACTTCAAATTCTCCTCCTCATGCCACACTACTGAAGAGAAACGATGAAGGGAAGGGTAGCATTTTTTAACATTAACTTTTAATCAAATTATTATTGCTTCTCAATGTAACCGAGAGGTTATTAATTTAACTTGTTAAAGACAGAGGCGACCAATTTTTGGTTGACTGTGGCTGGTAATGAGATATGTGGTGTAAGGTTACTTGTTTTGTCCTGCTCTCTTTCACAGGAGCCCTTGCAGGCAGTCCTACGACTGGTCCTACATCTGGTGAGCCTGTTTTTATTCTTTCATAAAGGACTAGATCACCTTTTGGTGCTTCTCTTTTGATATAATAATGTTGCATTCTTCAGTTGAATAAGGTAGTTTTTACCTGAATATCAAAAACACTTACGCAAAAAGAAGAAAACAGCGACGCCTAAGGAAGTAAGAGTTAAAAATTAACGTGAATTGTGAACACGAACTGCAAAAAAAGTCAGGTGTCTCAAGATATGCTATCCAAGAGATAGCGCCTGGAAAATGTTATGTTTTAGTGATGTATCCTTTAAATTTTCGTTATCTTTAGTTCCACCAGGTAACAGGACTTGTCCACAACATTATGTACTGCTTGGTGACGACTGCTTCTTTGTGTCTTATTTGAAATTGGCATGGAGCGAAGCACGCGAAGTTTGCCAGCGTGAGAGTGGTGGAGATTTGGCGAGTGTTCATAGCTCTTTTGAACAAGGTAAAAACAAAAGCAGAGCCGAAGATTTTTAGATTTTTCAGCCCCTCTGAAGATCACGTGAACGCTGACGAAGTTATGCCGGGACCATCACCCGGACATTTTGATAGATTTCCGAACTTTGCCCGAACAGTTTTGAAGATTTCCGAATATTACCCAGGCACCTTCAAAGATTTCTGATTTCCAAAGATCATCTGAGGATTTGCGGAAATTATCGAACATTACTGGAAAATTTCATGCATATTTCATTTTTAATTCGGAAATTTTCGAAGATATATTTTAAGAAAGCGCGTGTAAATTTTCAAACACTGAAAATCGCATTCACACTACAGGCTCGTACAATTTTTGATAGGTTTTAAAAAATTTTCTCGTGCGTATTTATTCCACATTATACTAGAAATCTTGGGATAAACTATACTAATACATTTTCGTGCAATTTCTCTTTATGTTTCCACCCTGCAGCTTTCATTGTGCTGAATTTAAAGAATTTCAGAGGAGGCCTGTGGCTTGGTCTCACCCGTCCAAAGTATTCCCCTGATTTCTTGTGGATTGATCATTCTATCCCACTGTACACAAACTGGGCGACTAACCAACCTGATGCCCCGGACAACACGACGGCGTGTGTTGTCGCCAACAATTCAATTTCTTTTGCTGGGGGCTGGAGTGATGTCGGTTGTACAGAGAAAAATGGATTTGTTTGCAGAATAAGACGAGGTAGGGTTTGTGGCATTCAAGTTCTTTCAGGCGTCTATCAAGGATGATAACGCGTTTATGTTTGGGTGAATGGGAAAGTTTTGTGATATATCAAGTGCTTATTTCCTAATTCGACGGGCCACGCAGGGGATATGCCTCTTTTGTTGACTTAACAGTCGTTTTTATGCATTTGTTAAATACGTGAAATTGTACGCGCGTAATGGCTATTAAGTGGACACCAGCTGAAGTTCCAAAATTTTCTTCCCACATTTACTGTGAAATAAACCTGCATTCAGCGGACACCTCTCAGTCTGTTGAGCGGACGCGGACACCGATATAAAGCCATATTGCTGCACACAACCTGCAATAAGCGGACACTTCAATAGCTCTTTACTTCTAAAGGTCTAGCTGAGACTCCTTTAACATTGTTCAATAATGTCGTTTTAAAGCTAAGTGATTTTTCCAGATTGATGGATTGACTGAGTGGACATTCTCCCATGAGCAGTGTTTGATCTTACACTGTGTTACTCTTTGTTACAAAAGAGTTTATAATTAACTTTTGTTGCACAACATATTAGTACCTGTTTTGAGCGGACACCCTGTATTAAGCGGACACTAGTGAGGGTCCCAAGGGTGTCCACTTAATACAAGTTTCACTGTGTGTTGATGTGAGCCCTAATTAGTGTCACTTCTTATGTGTTTTTACCCATTTTTCCTGTCACAGGTGAACCTCATGTCTCCCCACCACGTAAGTAGATAATTTTCCTTATTTCCCCACACATCCCAAAAACACAGGATATTAGCCATTTACTGAAACAACTGGTTTAAACACGCAACTAGCATAACAAGCAAAAGTGCCAAACTGGAAAATTGAGGAAAAAGGTTCATTAGAGTATTGGAGATGTCAATGTTTGCAGTGTTATCCAAAAGGAAACTTGCTTACTTCTTGTTCAAATCATTCTAATCATTGCAATAGTTTTGGCGTCATCTTGGCTTTTAGCTGTTTCGAGAAAGTTTATGGGTAATGCCAGTTCACGGTTACTTGATTGAAGCTCAAAGTGTTTCAACGTGATAGAAAATAATAATAACAATAATAGTAATAATAATAATAATAATAATAATAATAATAATAATAATAATAATAATAGTAATAGTAATAGTAATAGTAATAACAATAATAATAGTAATTTTTATAGAAATAATGAGGAGTGTTTATTGTGACAAAAACTAGAGCTAAGCGTTACAAAATGCTATAATATTTACATAATTTGATGTCTGTTAAGCCTGTAAAACATGTTTCCGTATCTAATCATGATATCATGGTTACTACAACTAATACTAATACTACTATCATCATCATAACATTAATTAACATATTCCAT